ATAGCATGCATCATTTTGAGAAGATCAGGATAGAGGTAGGGGGAAAAACATTGAAGAAGGCAGTCGGCAAACCATCCGCTCCCGGGGTCTTATGCGGGGGCATTGATCGACATGCTCGCACTACCTCTTCCATTGTTATCTGCATTTCTAAGGCCAGTCTCTGCTGGTCTATTCCGAACTGCTGCTGTGACAAAACTGCACTTAGTGTTTTTTTTTGCCTATTTGCTAGGAAGATTTTCATGACCTGCCGGTTTACCCGGGCATGGAGGCAAAAAAAAATAAAATAAAATAAAAAATTGTGGTGGGGTTTTTCCGCGGTCTCCGAGATGAGCCCAAATCCGGGCTCTTTTCTTTTTTTGAGAGTTGGCTGTCAAGGGGGGAAAGGGGAGTATAAATGAATTTTAAAGGGGCTAAAGGGGTTTAAAGGGGCGTGCCTTATTGTGATTTGGTTATTTTGTTTTTTATCTTCAGTTCGGTGAGGAATTCGGATGTGACCCTCAGCCAAAAGTTGTTTGTATTGCAATTCTACACAACATATTGTTTTTTTCAGATTTTTTTGGAGGGTTTTTTTTTTTTTTTTGCGCTGGGGCTGCCCGGACCCATGCCCGGGGGTCATGCCCGGCCGGTCACCCGGTCGCCAAACCGGGCGTGACATCGGGACCCGGGTGCCCGGGATATCTACCTAGCCTATTTGGAACTCAAACTGTGACTTAGGGCGTCGTTAGACACTCCTCGGGGACACGACTCCCAGGATTTTGTCGTCGTTACACCTGTCCTTGAAGATGTTTTTCGAAATGAAAATGTGAAAACACTCCAAGGACAAATACTTGGGCTCCGAGGATTTCCCAGCCAAATCGTCATCGGCTCCGAGGGACCTCACGAGCTCACTTGGAGCCCGAGGATCCGCGATTCTCGGGGTGTCGGCGTAGAGCGTAGAAGGAAATTTGGAGGCCGAAGGTGGTCCAGTTGTGGTCCAAGGGGCAGGCAATGGACATCATCGCCCTTCAATGCCATGGACGTCCTCCAACGACCTCCAACGTTTATCGTTGGCGGCGGATGGCGGCAGGGTGCATCACCGGCTGTTTTGGGGGTCCATCGCATTCTGGCGGGGTCTTCAATGGTCGGGAATATGAAATTTGTGGGCGTGCTGGCAGCCGCTCGCTGATAGTGATCTCCTTGGAGTGTTTCAGACTGTCGTGTGTCGCCGCTGTCTGCACATGCGACAAGAGACGTGCCTGTGGAGTGTCCTTGTCCCCTGTTGTTCGTGGCTGACCTCCACCGCAGGCTGCCGCCGCTGCTGCTCATCACCGTGCCGCTCATCGTGGTGTCATGTTCGACTGGTGTTTTCTGGGGCAACTTCCTAGTAGGAAACAGACAAGGTGTCTCGGAAGTAGTTGTCCGTGGCATCATCGCACATCTGCAGATCTTCACACGTCACGTTAGTCTCCATTTCATCCACCATCTTGGTGTTGCGCGAGGGAGCACTTCGGAGCCCAGCTTAGCGCATAGTTGGACGATGGCCTCCGAAGTCACCATGCAGTCAGGGGCGTCAACACTCTTTGTATGAGAAGCATTTGCCTGCGTCTCGACAGCTTCGCCATCATGCGCCCGGACGCTCTCTCTACATCAAAGCGGACGACGACAGCCAGCGCCACCGGCGCCACTGCCATGTTCTCCATGGACGTCGGCACGGCACGCCCATCTGCTCCACCTCCCTCCATTGTCGACGATCTTCAGAAAGACGTCATCACTGAAAGGGGCAACCACGCTCCCACGTAGATTGGAAGGCGAGGAAAACGAGCTATCCGCTACCCCGCCGCCACACTGGGATAGCCTGTGCATCGCCTAGCCGTCTTCACTCAAATTTTGAATTTTGGACGGGGACATTCCCGCCTTTTTATTTCTTTTTCTTTTCGCGGCCCCCCAAGTACTTGCTCCCTTCGCCTGTGGACCAACATGCCTCTTGAGCGGACATCTTAAACCAGAGCACAAACATACCTCCCCGGCCGTGTATACTCGTATAAAACTGGCCGCGTAAAGGCCCCGAGGATTCGTCCTCGGGACCATTCCCCGAGGGCAGGACGAATGACGCCACCAAAAAACCAAAACAAATAACGGCGGGTGCGGCATGTTTTGAAACCCTAAAGGCAAAAAACACTCGCGCCAACAAAGAAACCAAGAGCCAACTCGAAATGAGCAATTTCGGTCCAAAAGTATACGTTGGGCATTTCCTCTTTTTTTTTGTTTCCCCCTCTGACACCACGGCCTACCCCTGTAAATATGACACTCGATCTGACACTACGGCCGTCGGTACTTCTGCTGCCTTTTCGAACTTGGCACGGTTTTCTTTGGCGATGCGTGTTTTTTTTGCCCATTCGATACTCAAAGGTGACATGAAAGTACTTACCTCGAACCAAAATTTCCCTGAGGATTCATCCTCGGGGCCCGAGGACACCCTGAGGATTGTCTAACGACGCCTTTAGGCGTAGTTGTTTCAATTCTGAATTACCTGGAGCCAGTCAGCTCGATGATGATATCTCAAGGCCATTGATGTAGCTCAGTGGTTAGAGCACCGGTTGGAAATGCGCATTTGTGGTATGAGGTTGCGGGCTCAGAACTCCACAGCCTTGCGCATGGACACCGGCAGGCCGTTAGAATGATGCACGGCTGGACACACACCCCCTTGGTGCTGATGCATGGTAAACTGTTACAGACACTACCTGCGCACCACCCAAGGGTTGTCCACAGACCACGGCGTTGTATGTCGGGTCTTGATACTGCATGGGTTGCTTGTCGCTGTTGCTCGTGCCCAGTCTGGCATATCAAACACAGGTGCCGTTTCCGATTGTTGCTCAAATTGTAGAGTCTTCAGGTCACATGTCATAGATCATGGGTTCGAGTCTGGCTTGGGGGGGTTCTTGTCCAGCTTGGCCTGTCATCTCTTCAACGAACACATAGTTCCCTCTACATAGTACTGTACATATCTGGCCTTCGGGCATGCTATGCAGTTACCCAGAGCACATATAGCCTTCGGGCAGACACAAACATGGCTCGTGAATATACATGAAGCCTGCGGGCTCATACAAACATACATAGCCTCTGGGCACACATACATACACAACTACGATACCGGGCTGGGCGGGTCTATCAGGTACATGATGGGGTCTACTCACGCATTTGCATTGTTGTTTCTACTCTTCCTTTTTTTTTTTCTCTCTTTTTACCTTTCGCTTTCTAGGCATTCCATCCAATGCATGTGCCTCCTTTCCGCATGGGATGGCTCAACCAAGAGAGTAGCCCCCCCTCCTCCTCTATCTCTTCGTTGAGCCATCCCGTGTGGAAAGGAGGCACTGGGATTGGATGGAGTGCTGTAACAGCGGAAGTCTACTTGCCCTTTCGGGCAAGCTTTCCTGATCCAGTAACAGGAAACTAGGAAGGTCCCAAAAATTCCACTGGCGGTGGGGTCCATCTCCTCGTTCCCGTTCCCGTTCCCGTTCCCGTTCCCGTTCCCGTTCCCGTTCCCGTTCCATTAGGCGACGATTTGTGCTTTCCAACATTTCCAGACTTTTCCAAAGTGCTTTTCTGTGGGGTCCGTCCCTAATCCACTGTTCTGATTGGCGCTTAATCCATTGACGTCGCTGGAACGTCAAGATGTTGAGTTTTCGCTTGGATCGTCTGTGAGTGGACACAGTTCACTTGTGAACATTTCACACTACAACATACCCAGGAATAATTATGTGTGTATCCAGGCCAGACTCCGACAGAGGTGTAACAGCTAAATTATTGGTATAAACAACTACCATTTGGCAGAAACTGTGATTTCTCAGTGGATCATCGTGGCCCTTATGGAATGGTCGTTTGGGCCACTTCCTGGCCCACATTACAGTTTCACCCAGGAACAGGCCCCTGGGTACAACTGTAATTTGAGGTTGATACTTGGGTATAAACCATATGACTGTAACTTGGGCCAGGAAGTGGCCCAAACGACCACTCCATAAGGGCCACAATGATCCACTGAGAAATTACTGTTGTACAGTTTATAACTTTATACCCAAGTATCAACCTCAAATTAGAGTTGTGCCCAGGGGCCTGTTCCTGGGTGAAAAGGGGCTGAGGAGGTGGCTTAACAGGGCTGATGTGGCATAGATGTGCACAGCTCTTCTTGCATGCTGTATGGCGCACATCTGCACACACCCGTTTGTGTGTGTTTTTGTGTGTGCATACAGGCCATGCTCTCAGGGCAAAGGGCAGAGGTGGTGCATTTCAAGCCCGGATTTTGAATTCGAAATGCCTTCCAATAGCTGCACCACCTGGAGATACACCCACAATTTCGCTTGCCCAGTTTTGTGGGCGTTAGCGTAAGTTGCCGGTTGGTGACCAAGGGCCTGGGGGACTGGGTGCAATGATATTTTGGCACAGGGGAAAAGTTGCGTACTAGGTTAAGTTCAACAGCTACCAGTATTGATGCCAGATGAGCACTGGGCCCAGGTATCTGCATACAGACTCTACAGAGGCAACTCTCCCTTTTTTCTTTTCAAATTGGAAATGCTGTGGAGCCACCAGGCTTCTCAGATATGATGCCCGCTCGATCATGTGACAACTTGCCAATTGGTTGGCTGTACTGATGTGCGACATGAATTGTTGAGCGCAGAGTGACACATGCCTGAATGATACATGGGGATATAGTGGGTTGGGTGGGGGGGAAGGGAGAGATTGTTGCATGTTTCCAGATTTAGAATGACATGTCCCAGTGAAACCAAGCCTCTCAATTTCAATTGTTTCTCTTTCCTCTTTTCCATTCTATGTGCAAATGTGCATGCACGCACACATGTGTGTCTGTTGTCATGTTCACTGTGCACAATTCCACGAAAGAGCATGACTGTGCCAGACTGTTTCGTCGGACTTTGTGTGTGTGTGTGTGTGTGTGTGTGTGTGTGTGTGTGTGTGTTTCGCTGCTTTGTTGTAATTATTTGTTGACACATATGACGTCATGGCTCCAGGACCGCGTGCCTGCTTTCACTGCAAGCAAGGCAATATCCATCATTGAGAGGGAGCTCGGACAACCAGTTGATTCTGTCTTCCCAACTTTCGAACAGAAGCCTCTTGCCGCTGCCAGCTTGGGCCAGGTAGGACTCTCTCTCTCTCTCTCTCTCTCTCTCTCTCTCTCTCTCTCTCTCTCTCTCTCTCTCTCTCTCTCTCTCTNCACCAAACAACCTGGCAAAACGAATGGCGTTTTTTTTTTTTTTTTTTTTTTTTTTTTTTTGAAAACACGCCCCCACCAATGTTAGTGGTCCTGATAAGAGCAGACACCACTAACACCCGGGGAGAGGCTCCATCTATTGGTGGGGAGCTTCACCTGCTGGGAAGCGGGCCCAGAGTCCCATATACAGATTGAATTTGTGTTTGCCAGTCTATGTGTTTGCTTATTTCTCACTTCTTTGCTGTTTCTTTGGTGTTTCCTCAACTTTCCTGTTCATTGTTGGGGTGGTCATATTTATTTATCCGCAAGTTGGTTGCAGTATTTTATATCAAGAGATTGATTATATCAATGAAGGACGAAATGCTGATCGTTTTCGAAACGATTTCCGCAACACTAAATGGGTGAAAGTACCGGTATGTTTCTTCTTCTTCTTCTTCTTCTTCTTCTTCTTCTTCTTCTTCTTCTTCTTCTTGTCCTTCTTCGTCATCATCGTCGCTGTCGTCGTTGTTGTCGTTGTCATCGCCGTTGTCGCGATGATCGTCTTTGTCTTCTTCATCTCCGTCGTCCTCTTACCGAACTCTTATGTGCATTGCTGTTGAGCAGCACACAGTACCTTCCTGCCACAATTATACTTAGCCATGAAAGCCCTAACCCTAATCTCTGATCCCTTTTGCAGGAAGAAACTTCTCGTGAGTGGATACTTTTGGGAGAGGCCTGGGGAGTTTGAGTCTTGAATGGTACATACATTTAGTTGTCAAACTCTTATGGCGAGGCGAGCAGCAGGTCATGAGTTCAAATCTTGATCAGCAAGAGTGTGCTCGCCTCGGTGATTGCATGAAGTTTTTTTTTGTTTTGTTTTCTTTCTCGTTGCACTCACATGAAGATCGATCAATGATCACGTCAAGCAACCCACACGTACTCAAGGGTTGATTTTGTACCCCGCGTTTGAACAGGTCATCAGTTCAAATGAGTGGTACAGAATCCAACCCACCTCCCCCCCCCCCCCCCCCCCCCCCCCCCCCCCCCCCTTTCCCCCCCCCCCCCCCCCCCCCCCCCCCCCCCGCGCCTTTTATCGCGCGCGCGCCCCTCTCTCTCTCTCTCTCTCTCTCTCTCTCTCTCTCTCTCTCTCTCTCTCTCTCTCTCTCTCTCTCTCTCTCTCTCTCTCATTGTCGGAGCAAATACCCTTACAAGGGTATTTGCCCATGTTTTTGCAGGGCACTGAAGTTGCATCTGTGGCAGCAGTTGAGACAGTGGTGCATCATTTTTGGTAGAAGTCGCACCCGGCTCTCAGTGATTGGACGGGTTAGGAAATTGTGACTAAGTCAGAGAGTATGTGTGGGTGTGCATTTTTAAGGCGCATATAGAATGCTCGGGTGAGGGGGCGTGTGTGAACCGTGCACGCTCATAAAGTCCGGCATTGTCATGACCGTCGCCAAACCTGAGCCCTCCGCCGTTTGTCGCCGCCCTTGTGAGTTTTCACCGATCTGCGTAGGACGGCATTTGAGTCCATTAGGCGTTGGGCTAAAAAGGGTCTTGTGCGTATACATGCTGTTCGTATTGTTCTGTTCGGTCGGCCGCCACGATAAAATAGTCGCATGCAGCAAGCGGCCCGAAGCAGCGAAGGTGCGACTCTTAAAAAGTGGCCGCTTGCGGGAGCTTGAGGTAATGGTGGCGCGGGTTTGATGTAGTAACTAAGGTGTCCAACAGTTGTAGGCAGAGCCCGGCCACGGCGCAACAAGGGACGAAAGTTCGGTGGTTGTGGGCTCGACTTATAGGCCAAAGTGTGGCCTTGGTGCATTTTGACAGGCTGGACGGCGGGGCAGATAACTTTTATAAGATATTCCACGCCTGATGCACTCAGACTTGTTCCTAGCCCTATAGGTTACGACATTGGATTTTCATGCAGCAGGTATGGCAATCGAGACTATCAGGCGACGGAGCGATGGAACACACATGGAGAAACCGAGGGCTTGAGGGTCCTGCGGGACTATCCCTTTTGGTTTTGCTGTCGGTTCCGACCACGGGCCCAACGAGAGGGGTGAAAGGGGTACCTGTGGGTCTCCTTCATTTATTTTTTTTACTCCTTGGTTTGTGTTTTTTTGGGACCGAGGTGGTGTTGATTCCGCAGACTTGTATTAGGCTCAGTACCAAATCTGGAACTAGTCGACGTAACAACTGGCTTAGCCTAGTTGGTACACTCCTGAACTGTTGAAATTCAGACCCAAGTTCCAATCCAGATGCAATCGGATGAACATAATAAAATCTTTCTGAATAATCCAGGTCAGCCAGTCCGATGTGAGGCAGCAGGCCTATTGCCCCATCATGGTACTTCGAGGCAACTGTTGAATAACACAAAGAAGTTTAGTTTGGTCTGGCAGCTCGAGCTCGCTGGGTGCCTCATTATCGTGGTAAGTTACCACTACAAAAATTGAGTGAACCTGGCCGAGTCTTCGAGCAAGGTGCATTGAAACGGTAAGCGATAATAGGAGAGAGAGCGCAGAGGACAAAGAGAGGAGAACAGGATTAGCGGAGGTGGTTAAGAGTAAGGAGCCGAGGAGGGGGGAACGATCGCATGAAGCGAGAGGAAGGATTAGAGCTACAACTACCTACCTGGTGGGGGTCGTGGCTATCGCCCTTGCGAGCACAGTTGGGGTTGCGCCCGGATCAGGATGTGATCCCGATAGAGATACGTTTGAGAGAGAGGAGGGGTTGAAGTACTTACCTGGTTGGAGTCAACAGGAGTTGCAGGGTAGGATATGGTGTATCTTCCCATGTTCTAGTGGAAGATTCACTCTCGTTTTGCACATTTGAGGAGGGGTGGCCGCGCTGCTCCGCATGATCGCCACGCTGCTCCTTGTCAAGGTCTTGGTGCTTGTGGTATTCAACTCCATTTGGGTACTTATTGTGTTCCCGTGGTTGCCGCAATCTTCTAACTCACCGTTGACATGCTAGTGCTCATGCGCACGATAAGGCTTGGCTTGCCCGGGCTTATCTGAAGCTCGCCCGTATCAGGCCCTGGTTGTGGTGAGATTCTGTAAGGGCATTGTGCCATACGAGAGAGTGTGCAGGTATCGAACGAGAGAACAGTGAAGAAGAGCGAGAAAGTATGTGGGATGGGGCAGAGAAGGAGAGTGTGTGAGAGGTTGAGAGAGTAAGGGAGGCAAGGAGGGGTTGGAGAAGGCGGAGAAGTTGCCTACCTAACGAATGACGGGCTATACTTGTGTTCTCGACGTGCTATGGGAGTGCGTTGCATCTGAATGAGGCCTTGGGTATGGCGATGTGCGTTCAGGCTCTGCGATAGCATGAGTTGTTATAGCAGTGGGAAGGGATGCAAGCGTGGTGGAGAACGTGAAGAAGGGAGGTAGTGAGGGGAAATGTATGAACCTATGCAGCAGGGCTTAATACATTTGTTGAAGGTAAAATAATGGATAATAAAGAGTGGCGATGGATTATCCCTTGTTCTAGGTGAAGATTCATTCTCATTTTGCACATTGGTGAGCATCGGAGTATCCCTTATGACCGTGATCATTGGGCATGATCGGCATTGTCTTTATAGTCGTCATCGTCATCACACCATATCTGCCAACGAGTCATGGTGGCCTTCCACTGCGGTTTGCTTCATCACGGTGTTGTTTGTTTGGTGATCGTATTATTATGCCTTAGTCTTTGTGGTCGCCTTCCTTGATGACGTGATCGTGTGCTGCTGCTACCTCTGCCTGCGACCACGGTCAACTACTACCACGCTGTCTGGGAGTCTAGCCAAATGGGGGAGGTTGTGGGGCAAGGGGTGTTATCTCTCTTCTACGAAAGGCGGTAAAACCAACATTTGGAGCTGCAGGCCTATCACTCTACTAACAGTGGTATACAAAATGGTGGTGAAGGCCTTAGCAAACCGGATGATTCAGGTGATGGAGGATATCATCCACCCATTGCAAACTGGCTTTATTAAAGGTAGAAAAATACAAGATAACATTCTCCTGATAAATGAGATAGTAAAATTATCGTGACGATGAAAGCAAAACGCGGCCATAATCTTCATCGACTTTGAGAAACCGTATGATTGGTTCTTTCATAATCTTTCTGGATAAATGCCTGGGGAAACTTAACTTTGGCCCTTGTTTCAGAAGGTGGGTGGAGATCATTCATCTTAGTGCCACAACAAGGGTGCAAGTAAATGACAGGTTGACCCCTCCCATATACTTGGAGCGCTCGCTCGGTGCGCCAAGGGGACCCGATCGCCCCCTTCTTGTTTGTCATAATCATGGTCGCACTGTCAGCAAACTTGAGAACACATAAAAAATTTCAGCGAATACGGGTTGCCTCCATTCTGGAGGAGGCGGTCCCGGTTTGTTCCTTGTTTGCGGACAACCCTGACACTCATGGTAGACACCTCACCTGAAAACATGAAAGAAGTCAATTTGCTGATGGATTGTTTTTGTGTCCTATCAGACATGGGAGGGCTAGGAGGCAGAGGTGGCGACTGGGCTTTTTTGGAATACCTGTACCTTACCTACCCATGCCCTTTTTGAAAACTAACCACCCATACCCACTGTATAGATGTCCTACCGGACCTTTACCCACCCTTACCTGCTAAAAAAAACAGAAGTGTACCCGTACCTGCCCTACCTGAACCCCTTCAGACTGTGACTGCCCATAACTGCCCATGGACTTTCTGTTTCAAAACTACCCATGGCCACCTACACCCAAATCTTTTGTTAACCACCTGTACCGTACCCAATCAAACTTTTTTTCACCCCTACCCACCCGTACCCACTCACAATTGTATGCACCCACCCATAACCATCCATACTTGTGACCCACCCTCCCCTAACCACCCCTAACTGTCCCCAACCGCCCC